GCATGGGGACTCCCGTCAGACCTTTCGTTGTCAGATTGTGCTTGCAAATGTGGTAGTTGTTTAGTCAGGGAGGAATTCGCAGAAATGTCCCGTCCGGTTTGGGTAGACTGGAGGCAGAAAAAACACTTGGCTTTGGGATTTTGCATTCTCGAGGCAGATATTTCTGCTCAGCTGTTGTCTGTGGATAGCTTTGGCGGCTTCGTGCTAATCAGACTAACATCATGTGGAAAGCTTGAAGCTCAACCTTACCATGCAGCATGGGAACCAGAGAAGTTTCAGGGGCACAAGCGGAAAAGTGCTGATTTGGAGGAGAATCGTTTATACGACGCAATGGAGTTGGAATTCGAGGGGGTCAAGAAAATTCAGCACATCAATCTGAGTTTTCTTGATGCCTTCTTGAAAGGCAATCTAGAAAAATGCATCGTCAGCAGGAGAGAGAAAATCGAGGAAAGTGATGAAGGTGCCGGGTCCAGAAAAGGGGCACTTGGCTTAGTCGGATCGGAATTTCCATAAGGAAACGTGCCACAAGCTGAAGAATCTCGGGCTTCTGGAGGCCCGATCATCCATTGGGATCTCAGCTGTGTTGGATGACATCAGCTGGCCTACGAGCGTACACGAGATTGGTCTCATGAGTGTGTTTGCTGCTCTGCCCATGGGTCTGTTGCCGTCCGCTTTTGCTGTCTACTCAGATTTCGATGTGGATCACGGTAATGAGCCCCTCGAGTTTCTCAATATTCCAGACCTGCCCCAGGCCCCGCCTTTCCCTTTCAGGAGGCCGTCCTTCCGCAGCAATCAGAGGTCAACCAAAGTTCAGCCCCCTGATGCCCTTGTTGGTCCAGTTATCCCTCCCCTTTTCTTGACTGCCCTATACAGGCTCTTAGTCGAAGAGCGTAAAAGCAAAAGAGAGCTTTACCCGGAAGAATCCGAAGCTTTCTCAACACACGTTCAGTTCAAAAGTCAGTGCGAGAAGGTTATGAAGGCTGTCAGGGAGCACATTGCTGAAAATGGGGAAGACGATTATGTGTCGCTTGCGGATGACATCGAGAGTATGGCAAGTTTTACACAAAACTCGAAGTTCTCTTTTTACAAGCCGTTTGCTTTTTCTGAAAGTCCACCTTGTGTCGAAAAGTTGGAACCCGGGCCCAGAAGTTGTATATTCTCAACCCATGCTTTTTGGGAGAAGCGAATTCATGTAGTCTGATAATGGTCTAGGAATCGTGGGGAAGGAGCTGTTTGATGCGGGCTGCCCGATCAGGTTGAAATTTGAGGATTTTAATACTGATTTGGACTAAAGGAGTTGGAAACATTGCGGAATTTGAAGCAGCAGGATATGGATTTCCAGAGAAGTTTTAAGCCGTATCAAGAGTACACCAATAGGTACTGATATGGTTGACTCTGTAGTAACTATCTCTCTATTTTTTCTCACTTGTAAATACTGGATTGTGTGTGATCTTGCTACCCCTTATATATTCTAACAAGATATTTTTATTGTTATTAGTTAATACAATTATATTGATTGTTCCTTTGATATCTTTTAATGAGCAGATATCTTGGTGAATCTCATTTTTTCTTCTTTTTTCCAAAAACTCTTGATAGTCTCACGTTTGCATTCGATTTATATCTTTTCTTTTCCATTTTTAGGAAATCCGGAAAAGAAGCCCAAAAATGTTGCTGACATGAAATCGCTTGACCTGAAGATGTAAGTCTCATTTTATTTTCTTTTTTCCCTTCTCTTCCATTGCTTACTGAAGGTCACAATTGGAGTAAATTTTGAATTAAGTTACAAAAAAAAAAAGTACCCATAACTAAGTTTACCTATGAAAGAGTCCTATAAATCTCGGTTTTAATGACTGCAGAACAATGGGGATTACTGAGGCACTCAGAATGCAAATGGAAGTCCAAAAGCAGCTTCATGAACAACTTGAGGTATTGCAAAATAGTTGCCTTTTGCAGTCCTTACAAGAAAGTTAATTTGCTCATTTGCAAGAAAGTTAATTTGCCGTTTGCAGTCCTTGCAAAATACTTTATTTTTTATTATTATTATTTTTTTTTGTAATATATAAAAATAAACAAACTTTTTCAGTCCATATGGTGATATCTATTGTAATATATGATGATCTCTATTGCAAACTTTTTCACTTTTTTCACTTTTTTTTTTTTTTTTTTTAACTTTGTTTTCAGATTCAAAGAAACCTACAGTTGCGAATAGAAGAACAAGGCAAAAACCTCCAAATGATGTTCGAGCGGCAAAGGAAGATGGAAGAAGAGAAGAAACAAAAACCAGAGGAACATTGTTAAAAAACAACAGGAATCTCAACTACAGATGAACATCTAAACAAGCAAGAAAAATCTTACGAATGTTTTGAGGTAAACATTATGGAATAATTTACTTTTTTTCTGATTAATTTCAGCTCAGCTGGAAATGGGTAAAAGAAGGGCTTGGATTTATGCAGTCAAAAGAGCTCTCATCTGTGACTCCAAACAAAACAGAGAGAAGATGAACCATTTCATTTTTTATTATTTTTTTTTATAACCTTAATTCTAATTCTACCACTTGCTAGAAAATAAAAAATTTATATTTTTCTTGTTCTTTTTTTTTTTTTCCCTATTAGGGACACAAATAAACGAGAAAATGGTTCGGAAAATAGAGGAAGAACAAGGAGTTAAAAAAGTCTCCAAATGCAGTAAAAAACCTGTCTGAAAACGGTAAATTGATCCAAGCCGAGAATGAACAGAACAGGCAAGCTTAGTCCGTTGCTCTCGCGACAGCCGTGGCGGCAGAGGTCGTCCGACTCAGAACAGCTGTTGCCACCTACCTCAGCATCCGGCAAGTCCAAAGAGGAGATTGCCGCCATCAAGATTCAGACAGCTTTTCGAGGTTACCTGGTAAGGTGGAGCTAGTTTTCACAGTTTCATGTACCTCCCAAAATATAAGACATAAATTCTAAGATGAAACCAAAATTCTAGTATGACTAGTCGACTCGTCTAATTGTTATGATATTTCATGTCTAGTGCTGTTAAATTACACGACTCTGCCTCAGCTCGGCTCGAACTCAGCTCGAGCTCAGCTTGTTAAGGCTCATGTTCTGCACGAGCTCGAGGTCTTAACGAGCCAAGCTTGACCTCATATAAAACTCGTTGGTTAACGAGCCGAGCTTGACCTCATATAAAACTCCTTGGTTAACGAGCCGAGCTCGGCTTGATAATGCTTGTTAAGAGAATTTTTATATAATTTTCTATAGTTCGTCTCGTTAAAGCTCGAAATCGGCTCTTGTCATGTAACAGTCATTATGTAACTAACTAATTTTTGGTCTATATTAACCAAATCATTATTATTAATTTTTTTTTTTCGTTTACATTTTTAGTTCTTTATCATTCATTATGTCCAATGTTTACTTAAAGTTGATAAAAAATATGGTGTTTTTCACAACAGGCAAGGAGAAGATTGAGGGCTTTGAAAATCAATCTTGGCAGTGAATGCAGACGATGGCTCGTCTGCAATCCGAGGTTACTATATTGTCTTGTCGGTCAAGAACTCGACTATCCACTGAAAAATATTCGTAAGCCAAACACGCGCATTATCGTTCTCTTCAAATTTTACTACTATCACTCGAGAATTCGTCGTGTGTTAATTTCATGTTGCTTAGTGTTAAATTAAATAAGTCTGGCTCGGGTCAGCTAGATAAAGCTCGAATTCGAGCGAGCTCGAGACCTTAACTAGTTGACTTAGAGTCCTTTAAAGCTCGAAAAGAGAATATTTATGTAATTTTTCATTGTTCGGCTCGTTAAATCTCTAGATCGGCTTGATCTCGGCTCATTAATAGTGATAAACGAGCCGAATTAGAACTTGATTTCTGGCCCGTTTATTTAATGAGCCGCTCGTTAAGGTCTTGAGGTCGGTTCGTTTACTGATATGCTTGTTATTCATATTCATTTTTCTTGTGGCCAATATTAATATCAACACCCATCTGTTATCCTTTTCCGATGTAGCATTGATTTTTCATATCGCAATTCGTGGATAAAAAAACTTAGTCCCGTCAACTAATTCAACCTCCTACCCTCCTTAGAACTTAAAACCAATAGGTGAACCGCCGTTGACCACTTAAAACCAATAGGTGAACCGCAGTTGACTCTAGCATTGCCTGCTTCAGCCAGTGGAGGGACTCCTATCTCAGCTAACGTGATGGATACAGCTAAAAACCCCGCTGCCACAGCCTCCTCACTTATTATTCGACTTCGACTAATAGGATATCTAAAATATTTGAGGAGATCGACCTTCCTAGGCTGGGAACTTAAGATATCTCATCCTTGGGATACTTATAATAACCCACCGATAGACTTTTATACTTTTTTTCTTGATCAAGCCGCCGCCGGACTTAGGTTTCCTTTTTGCGATGACCTTACAGAGCTAAGCCGGTTGTATCGACTAACACTAAATCACTATTCTTCCAATGCTATTAGAATGCTTGTTGGTTTCATTACGGTCTGCCGATCTAGGTTAGGAAACTAGATCACGAGCTTTGTTTTTAGATGAAACCCTGAGAACCACCTACTATTTGTCCACTCGCTATAGTGCTCATTTCTTTGGCCAAACAAAATCTAAAATACATAATTGGAAAGGTCATTCTACTTCATCCATGCCCCTGCTAATACCTTTGATTTCGCACCCGAGTGGATCCATGAGTTACAGGGCAGCGTAGCAACCCCCATCCGAACTCCGAATATGATGCTCTTATTAGAGAATGAAATCAACAACCTTTGCATTTTGTAAAATTTACGTCCGACACCCACCTACTTCATCACTTCAAACTTTCCGCTCATCCAGCAGAGACCATGACCGACATAGGTAGGCGTTATGAGCCGAACATCTTTTTATGTCTCTATGCTATTGTTCGTTAGTTCGATTTGTTTTGTGTTTTATGCATCCATAATGATATTAATTTTATTTTTGTTATGTTTTAGAATCTCTTTTCAGCTCGGTGCTTTCGACGCCCAAACACGCCAGACAATCTACGTCACCATCTCAACCCCCAGGTCCAGTCGTTGACTATCACTGGGCCCGCGGGTTGAGAAGGTCACGTAGATTATCTGGCGTGTTTGGGCGTCGAAAGCACCGAGCTGAAGAGAGATTCAAAAACATAACAAAAATACAGTTAATATCATTACGGATGCATAAAACATAAAACAAAGCAAATAATAGCATAAAGACTGAAAAAGATGCTCGATCCATAACGCCTACCTATGTCGGTCACAGTCTCTGTTGGATGAGCGGAAAGTTTGAAGTGACGTAGTAGGCGGGCGTCAGACGTAAATTTTACAACGTGCAAAGGTTGTTAATTCGATTCTCTAATAAGAACATTATATTATGCGTTCGGACGGGGGTTGCTACGCTGGCCGGGTAGCTCATGGATCCACTCGGGTGCGAATTCAAAGGTATCAGCAGGGGCAGAGATGAAGAAGAATTTATCTTTCCAATTATGTATTTTAGATTTTGTTTAGCCAACGAAATGAGCATTATGGCGAGTCGACAAATAGTAGGAGGTTCCGAGGGGTTTTATCCAAAGACAGTAAAAACAAAGCTCGGGATCTAGTTTCCTAACCTAGCTCGGCAGACCATAATGAAACCAAGTAACCAACAAGCATTCTAATGGCGTTGAGAGAATAGTGATTTACTGTTAGTCGATATAACCGGCTTAGCTCTATAAGGTCATCGCGCAAAGGAAACCTAAGTCCGACGGCGGCTTGATCAAGAAAAAAGGTATAAAAGTTATCATTGGGTTAGTATAAGTATCCCCAGGACAAGGTATCCTAAGTTCCCAGCCCCTAGAAAGGTCGATCTCCTCAAATATTTTAGCTATCATATTGGTCGAAGGAAGTGAGAAGGCTGGGGCAACGGGGTTTTTAGCTATATTTGAAGCAGACAATGCTAGGGTCAACGACGGTTCACCTATTGGTTTTAAGTGCGAAGGAGGGTAGGAGTTTGAATTAGTTTAAGGGACTAATTTTTTCTAACCACTAATTGCGATATGAAAAATCAATGTTATATCGGAACGAAAAAGGATTACGGATGGGCGTTGATATGATTATTGGCCACAGTGATGTTCTAAGAAAAAAAAAAGAAGAGAGAAACAGGGGGAGGAGCACTTACCCATGAAGCCGCCGGACATGATTGTGGAGATCGGGGATCCTACTCGTCGAGCTTCTTGATGAAAGGAAAGCAACGCGCCAGATTTCAAGTGCAAGGGAGGAGGTAGAGTGAAGAGAATGAAATAAGAAAGTTATGGAAAGCAGTATTTATAAGGGGGAAAAATTTGAAAGGACGGTTGATTTGGGGCCGTTCAATCGAGGTTGGATCAACAATGCGCAATCAATCGTATTGGGGAAGAGGGGGAATTCCTGGACAGCTCATCGTGGTCAACATTTTTATTAAAGATGAACCATACATCAGGATCAATAACGTATGGCGGGCTCTGGGTATTTAAGGAATGACGAGCTCGTGGTTTATTGCCGACCTGATGGGCCCGGGTTATTGTGATGTGACAAGCTCACGGATTTGACGAGCTCGTGGTTCATTGCAGGTATGATGGACGCCTGATATTTGGCGCCGTGACGAGCTCTTTGATTTGGCGAACTAGTGGATTTGATGGATTTGGTGATGTGACGAGTGACGAGCTCGCGATTCTGACGAGCTTAGGGTTTTCTCGAATGTCGACGAGCTCGTGGATTTGACGGATTTGGCGATGTGATGAGTGACGTGGATTTGACGAGCTAGCGGATTAGATATGGTTATTCATGAATTTATAATTAAGTGTGATGTGTTATAAAGGGGTGGTTTGTAATGTGCCAAGGCTAAGCCGGGTTTAACTTGTGGCTCATGTGTTCAGAGAGCTCGGCAATCGGAGGGGTAGCACAAGCTCGGCAATCGGAGGGGTAGCACAAGCTCGACAATGAGCTCTGGTGTGATAGCTCGGCTAGGTGCTCCAGGGCGCTAAGGGTACGAGGTCATGACGGGCCGAGCAGAGGATTCTCCGGTAAAACATCAGTGTTCTCGAAAGCTTAGCAGGGCGGCCGAGCTAGTCAGTAGGTCGTCTGGTCATTCGGACAAGGTGGTTCCGTGCGATAAAAGGAGTGTGCTCCCTATTAATCAGCAGAGTTCGAGGCAAAAAGGATTCTGAGACTTCGGATAAGTTGCATACTATTGAGAGACGGATGTGCGAGGGACTTCATATATCAAGAAGTCTATTCAAAGGCCTTTCATACGTTCACAAGGGGGTGTAGATTGTTTATAGGGATAAAATTAATAGTTTTTCATGAATGTTGAGGTCGGTAAGGGGTGTTTATCCCGAATCTCACTTAGCTCGGCATGGACCGTAGCTCGCCGTCAGGTCAAGGCGGGAGAAATATATGCTTTTGGAGTGTAACAAAAAATGCAGGATATGTGCAAACAGCGGTACGAGCACAAAGCAACAAAACAGGCATAAATGCATGTAACAGGGTAACCGTTCATTCGAAATAAGATATCCTTAGCTCGGCATGGACCGTAGCTCGCCGCCGGGTCAATACGGGAGAAATATATGCTTTAGGTGTGTAACAAAAAATGCAGGTTATGTGCAAACAGCGCGACGAGCACAAAGCAACAAAACAAGCATAAATGCATGCAACAGGTACCCGTTCATTCGAAATAAGTTATGCGTTCATTCGGAAAAAAATTCAAAAAAACATATGGCCCTCGGCTGAGCTGCGGATCAACATCAACATACCCAATATATTCCCAACAGGTTGGGGTCTGGGAGTCAGTTGTACGCAAACCTTACCCTTGTAATTATACAAGGAGACTGTTTCCATATCGACCAAAGGTGCGTTGCGTTGTTTGATATATTTTTTTTTCTAGAAACTTCACTAATAGAAGAAGCACTAGAATTTAATTGAGCCATTTTGATCTAGTCCATTATTAGCACTATGGCAG